ATTGCTGGCTCATGGTCATCCTGTTGTCCACCAGGACTCCCAGGTCCCTTTCCACAGAGCTGCTCTCCAGGAGGTCAGCCCCCAACCTGTACTGGTGCATGGGGTTGTTCCTCCCCAGATGCACAACCCTACACTTGGCCTTGTTGAATTCCATTAGGTTCCTCTCTGCCCAACTCTCCAGCCTGTCCAGGTCATGCTGTAAGGCAGCACAGCCTTCTGGCGTGTCAGCCACTCCTCCCAGTTTTGTGTCATCAGCAAACTTGCTGATGGTACACTCTATCCCTTCATCCAGGTCATTGATGAATTTATTGAACAGGACTGGACAGGAAGGTTGCTTTAGGGGGAGAAGTAGCAGGTTCATCTGAGCAAGGTGCAACACTAATGAGTTTTGCCTGGCCTCAACCTCCACGGCAGAGTAGGCTAGAAGCTCTGGCTTCCCCAGTCCCCGTGATGTGCAGAGCAAGAGGCACAGCTCTGCGGGAAGGTTTGAATGGATGCAAGTGGTATTGCACCGCTGGATAACCTAATCTCTGTTTATCAATGCAGTCAAGTGTTGGTAAATAAAGGCATTGATGAAACAGGGGAGGTTTCATCTACATGGTGTTGTCTTGCAGGGCCACCAGTAACCACAAAGTCAAAGAGACGGTGGCCTTGGAGCTGAGCTATGTGAATTCCAACCTTCAGCTGCTGAAGGAGGAGCTGGAAGAGCTGAACAGCAGCGTGGACGTCTACCAGAATGACAGGTACGTGGGGCAGCTGAGCCGGGTAGGCAGCTGCCTGCAGTGTGGGAAGAGCAGCTTACGCAGTTGGGATTTTATTTTTATTATTATTATTTGAGTTTTGCTCTTTCTGGTAGTAAGGCAGCCTCTCGCCTTGTACCCGTTCCTCTGCCACCTTGTTTTGTGCAATGTTTGGACCTCTGGCAGGGACTACGGGGTGGTGGCTGGAGAATAGGGGATGACTTGGGCATGGACCAGATTTGCTGGAAACAGTTTTTCACCCAGGGAAAATGCATGTTTCATCTGCAGAGCTGCAGGGAGAGCAAACTCAACGGCATTCCCAGCAGATACTTGGAATCATAGAATGGTTTGGGTGGGAAGGGACCTTAAAGACCATCTAGTTCCAACCCTCCTGCCATGGACAGGGACACCTCCCACCAGAGCAGGTTGCTCAAAGCCCTATCCAACCTGACCTTAAAGACCTCCAGGGATGGGGCCTCCATAACATCCCAGGGCAATTAGTTCCAGTGTCTCACCACCCTCATAGTGAAAAATTTCTTCCGCATATCTAATCTAAATCTCCCCTCTTCCAGTTTAAAGCCATTACCCCTCATCCATCCCTTGTAAAAAGTCCTTCTCCAGCTTTCTTGTAGGCCTCCTTCAGATACTGGAAAGCTGCAATAAGGTCTCCCCGGAGTCTTCTCCTCCTCTTCTCTTAGGAGGCATTCGGGAATGGATGGTGTGTTCTTTTAACACCAATGTCCCACAGCAGGATGGATAAGTCAGAAACAATCATCTTCACTTGCATTGTCCCCCTTTCCTGAGCATCCCACTAGTTCATGATTTGTTTCCAGCTGGTGAAATAGTGTATTTAGCAGAAGAAATTAAAAGTGTGGCTGCTCAGGTGTCCAACCTCCTGTTCTGGTTGTTCCCAGAGTGGATTACTTACTGGTTTCTTTTCCCATCGAGGGTATTGGGTTATTCTACTCTCTTTCCGAGGTTAGTCATTTTGTTAATTGTAAATGATGTGTAGCTTTGAAATGCTTACCCAGCCACCTCAGGCTTGACTCACCGGAGTGGTAATCCTAGCACGCTCGCCAGCAGCGAACCAACGTGCCGGGACGGCTCGGCAGCGCCGTTTCACTGGGTGAGAAAAGCAGAAATCCCCAAGGCAGAATAGACGGGGACACTGCAGCAATGTGGGAGCCACTGCCGCTCCTTCCCGTCCCGAGATGGATGGGTGGATGGTGTTCAGTGACACCAAGCTGAGTGGTGTGGTTGACACGCCTGAGGGATGGGATGCCATTCAGAGGGACCTGGACAGGCTTGAGGAGAGGGCCTGTGTGAACCTCATGAGGTTCAACGAGGTCAAGTGCAGAGTCCTGCACCTGGGTTGGGGCAACCCCTGGTATCAGCACAGCATGGGGGATGAAGGGATGGAGAGCAGCCCTACCGAAAAGGACTTGAGGGTACTGACGGATGAAAAGCTGGACGTGAGCTGGCAATGTGCGCTGGCAGCCCAGCGAGCCCCCGGCATCCCGGGCTGCATCCCCAGCAGCGTGGCCAGCAGGGCGAGGGAGGGGATTGTGCCCCTCTGCTGCGCTCTGCTCTGGGGAGACCCCCCTGCAGTGCTGCCTCCAGCTCGGGGGCCTCAGCACAGGAGAGACATGGACCTGGTGGAGCGCGGCCAGAGGAGGGCATGGAGATGCTGCGAGGGCTGGAGCCCCTCTGCTGGGAGGACAGTCTGGGAGAGTTGGGGGGGTTCAGCCTGGAGAAGAGAAGGCGAAAAAGGGGAGACCTCAGAGCCCCTTCCAGTCCCTAAAGGGGCTCC